CGAAATCTCTGGGTAGTGTCTTATCTACAATCCATCTGCCCTCCAAAATTTATCCCAGAACTTATTCCGTTAAAACTCCCTCGCCAAAAGAAAAAGCAACAATCAAGCGGCGGGGAGGCCGGGGCCGAATTTTCGGAGCCCACAGAGTTTTGGTTTCCTTTAGGCACAAACCCGTATAGTTAATTTCCCCTTTCGATAACGAGAGAGTACTTTCGTTTAAGGTTAGTCGTTAAACAAATATTTAGTAGGCAACGTATAGTAACAATAGATTTAGATTGCTAGCATATCGTTTGATCTATAGGAGGATAAACTTGCTTAGCGCTGAATTTGCAGGATTTTGGGTAATGGGTGTGGCAGATATGATTGAATTATTATTTAGATAATTTCAATTATGTTTTTTTTTATATTATAACTAATTAAAATGATATAGAAACTGTAAATTGATTACTAGCATATTTTTTCTTGTGTCTTGTGTACATCAATTTATGTGTTGTCACCTCGCACATTGCATCATTTTGCTTATTTGACAACCCATGAAATATTACAATCATTTTTGAATATTTTAGACTTTTCGGACTCGACAACGAAATTCTTTTTATGAATGAACGATGTTCGGGCAACGTCGCACAATTTAGTGCTCATAGTCTGTTGATTTTGATCATCCTTGCTCGATTTGATTGCGAGGGATCCCCTTAGGTAAATTGATGTCTTGATAACATAAGCATAGTCTGTTTGACGATCGGAGATCTTTAGGTAGTTTTGTATTGTATTATGCTTGCCAAATATCGATCTTTAAACAACTCGCAAATGAGTGGCTCTTCTTTGGTAAATTTGATATCTTTAATGCATTGGTGCATTTTGTTTCACAATCAAAAGAAGTTTTAAGTGATTTCATGATTGATCAAGGCGATTTGATATTCGTGTTGAGTGACATATTTGCCAACGGTCATCCTTTTCCTTGATAGCCCGATTAGAATGTATATGGAGGTCAACAGTGTTATCGACTCTAGTCTTTGTGATAGGGATTAGATTTGGAAAAGTAAGACTTACAATCCTACCCTATAGGCAATGCTAAATGCTCGAGAGCATACATA